TGTCCAGGGGAGTACTCACAAATCATTTTCCCAGTTCTGTTTGTCATGATAACCTGTCGGCGTTCCCATTTTGCTTACCGGGTTGAATGGTGAAGTCATGTCTGTAATGCCAGGCTCCAATGTAATATCCTGGTGTTGTCTCCATCGATCCCGTTAAGACATACTAACGGGTTGTAATCCGTGAGTAATGTAAATTGTTAGCCATAGATGTATGGTTGCAGTTTTTTAAGGGCCCACACCACTGCTAGACACTTCTTTTTGATGGCGGTGTAGCTTACCTTCCTCAGTAGTAACTTTCTGCAGAGGTAAGCTACTGGGTGTTCTCCGCCATGACCCCTGACCTGGCTCAGTACTGCTAATCCAAACCTGGAGGCGTCTGTGTGGATAAGAAAATGTTTATATGGATTCGGAACGGCCAGGATGGGTGCATTTACCAGGGCTTTCTTAAGTTCCTTGAAAAGCTTGCTCGCACTCCAGGCTCCAGTTTACTTAGCGGGGCAAGTTTATTCGGATTAGGTCGGTGAGGGGCTTCGCTAGGGCACTATACTTTGGGACAAATTTCCGGTAGTAACCGACGATCCGTAGAAAGGCGATTACCTAGGTCTTGGTGCCGGCAAAGGGCCAGTTGGCTACTGCCTTAATTTCTGCCGGTTCAGGCTTTTGCTTCCCACACCAGACTCTGTGTTCTAGGTACTTTACCTCTGCCATCCTATTGTGGTACTTACTGGGTGTGATGAAAGCCACTTCACCACTGGTCTTTGGAGAGGACTACTTAGAGAGTGAACCTTTTACCATGTGACTATGGCCCCTTTCATTTATTTTGGTGAGAGACCTTAATTGTGCCTATTGGCACTTTTAACATTGGCCCTTCGAACTCCTGAGGGAATTCCTACCTACAGCGATATGGAGCTAGCTGGTCCCTGGACAGCGCTCAAAGAGGAGGTTGAGTTTTACTGGAGTGTGCAGAACCTCTTGGACGGACAGGATGGGCCGTTATCAGAGGTGGCCATGTTAAACTACAGAGAGGTTAGAACGGAGCTGTGGGAAGAAGCCCTGGAGAGGGTACAGCGTTGGCAAGATGAACATGTTCCCAGCCGGAAGCAGCGACTACAGGTGTGCAGCCCCAGGGGGAGTGGGTACCTCGACGACATGTACCAGGCGCTATGGTGGTATGCTGTCCAGCGTGTTCCCAAGACAGCCAATTATGAAAATCCTGAGGGAAATGATTAAGATGGCCCTGGCCTGTTCTGGGAAATATTTACCGATCCAGACTTTGGGAGTACTACAGA